TGGTTTGGGTTGCTGCAGAGAAGCACCCTCGATTTCTCATCTTCTGAATTTCTGATTGGGAAGTGTTCATTTGTAAAAGTTTGCATGTGTGTAAGAGGTTTTTTTCATTGTGCTGTTGAAGTGAAAGTTAAAATATGCACAAGAAACCGTTCCTTCATTTGGAGTATGTGTGGCTTTTGAATATGTTTTTCAATGTGGGAAGAGTTGGCTTAACTGAGTCAATAACAGGCAGTAGCTGTGGCAGCAGTTGGGCCAGGGAATAATTGATGTATGTGAGATTACTTGATCTTCCCACATGAGAACAGCTGAACTTAAACCTTTTTTTTTTTTTCTTTGCCCATTCTGGCAAAGCAGCTTCTGAAACACACATGAACAAAAAAAGGAAGAATGCAACTAGCAGTAAAGTCGTAAAATTGATCTTTATAACTGGCAACTTGTTCCTAGGAGTCCCAAAGAATGGCTGTGAGAATTAACACCAGCCTTGTTGACATGTTTTATAGTGGCACATAGGTTTGCAACCATGAGGTGGCTGTTTTGAGACACAGTTTCTTTTACTCTTCATTCAGTCCACTGCAGAGTCAAAAAACTCTTGTATGGTGATGATATTAAGAATATATTTTCCAAGCTGGGAGTTGAAATAGTGTAAGGAATATGAGTTTTGTGACAGTATGAAGTTAACCTTATTAGCTTTACTATTGTTCCTCAAACCTGTTATTGGGAGATTTAAAAACGATTTACACAAATGTTTATCTGAAATGTTAATTAATCATACAAATGTGGTATTTGTTACTGGAATGGGATGTTAAAGTTATTTCTGAAACCTGTGTTCCATTTAATTCCACTTTAGGAGGTGTATTAGAGCTTAGATTTTTAAAACCAATGGAGTTGCTGGTCATGGCTTTGAAAGTGATGTTGAAAGTCCAAGCTTCTTTTTAATGAAGACAGCTGCAACCAGAGCATGGCCTACAGATCGTGGCTTGTAACAGTGTAAAGGAAAAAGATACAATGCAATGTTTTTTCTCTTCATGAAATCTTCTCCCTCTTTGTTGTCACCAACAACAGTAACTTTTCATCCGGAGGTCTGTTTCATATAAGCTCAGTCAAATGATCCCTGTCTGTCATGCAGCCTAATGAACGGCTCATCTGATATTAATTGTTTTTTCACCCTACCTGTCCATCTGGAACAGTGGTTTGACTAAAGATTATCACAGCCATCTGAGTTCCTGCACAAAACGGTGTGCCACACCTTCCTTAGTGGCAAAGGGTAGTAGGCACAGAAGTTAAAAGGTTTTTGAAAGTTTCATTTCTGCGTCATCACGAATCAGTTTTGTGTTACTAGGAAAAATCCTAGTGTTAGTGCAGGGAAAAAACCCAAATAAAATAAAAAAACCAAACCCCATATTGTACAAGGCTCCAATCGTAGCGAACCTTTCTAAAATTATGTATTTTATGGGGAGGAGGAAGCAGCCACAGTAAATTTTCATTGAAAGCTTTTTATGCAGCACTTAAACACTCAAGGATGAGTGCCCTTCCTCCCTTTCAATAATGCAGTTTTGGCAAATTATAAGCAGTTATAGTTTTCTAATTAAACTTATGCGCATCATAAGGCAGATGCATTGTATTATGAATAGCCTATAAAGAATAAATGTTTTTGTTTAAACAATGGCATTTCATATAAAGCCATAGAGAAAGTTTATGACCAAAAAAACCCCACTTGTATACAAGTGAACAGGATCATGATCTCACAGGCTGTGAGGTTGTTATTTTGCTGTATTACGGTGCCTGTGGTCCTGCAGCTCAATTAGTTTCTGTGAGAAACGTTTTTGTAGAGGTGTGAATCCTCTCAAGTCTGTCATAGTGGAAAGTGGTGCAATTACTAATTTAGGATTAAAAGCAAGAAAATTTTTGACTTTTTGCTCAAAAGGAAACCGTTGTGTTTTAATGCCTGTATTTAGAAAAAATAATAGAAGTGAAGTTGCAAATTCACAGTTTAGGCATTTCTAATGTGCAATGAACAAGAGAACAAGCTCTCTAGTCTGTGTAGATTCCCTGATGCTCACTTTAGAAGGAAATAGTCAACAAAAGTGAACCCTACTGAAGGTAAACGTCCTCTGTTAAGACTACTAGTAGTAATCTGCATCTTTTTTTTTTTTTTTTTAAACGAGGCTGAATTTTTTTGTCACTCTTAGTCTCCTAACAAACCATCTTATCCCATGAATTGCTTTTCTTACTAAAGCAGTAATTACCAGTACTTGTGACTGCTCAGATACCACTCCGCTTCTGATATTCCTTGACATATACAGGAAAGGAGACTGATTCAAGTAATGCCCCAACAGCTAGTAAGAGTTTAATATGGGTAAAAGTAACACGGTGGAAGCTCAACCCCCAGCATCTTGCTGGGCATAGGGGTTGGTGCCAAGAGCTTCCCTGTCCCTGGAGCTGAAGAGGCTGCATGACTGCGAGTGGGCTGGGGCAGAACTCACACCAGGGCACGCACCACCCACTGTCTGTGCTGCTAAGCTGCTCAGACTTGCATTTTCTCTGGACGGACGTATATTTTTGAGCCTTTTTTACCAGGAGCTTGCCAGTTGTACTGGGGTGAAAAGTGTGTTATGATTTTCTGCAGAAGACCCCCTTGAAGAGGACTTTTGCAGATGGCCAAAGACTATTTTATAGATATTGAGGGAAGAAAGGGGCAAATCACAGCTGAATTCCCCTGTGGGAATTTTTGATGCTTTTTAGATCTAGTTGTCTTTAAGGTGCTGTAGTCTTAATATGGGCATATTTATTATTTGTTATATGAAGAAAATAAATTAATCTCATGGATCTCATGGCTATAAAACTTGGGAATAACAACTAGAATTTGAACTTATACCCAGCATACCCCTTCTTGGTTTTATCTGACAGCTTAAAAGAAGCAAGTACAAGCTGTTGCATTCAAACAACATTTATCTTGAGTGGTAATCAATGCTTTGTTATGTTGATCATGTTGTATAATACGTGGGCCTAAAAGCATCTGAAATCTGTGAGCTGTCTTTGGCATTGTATTTCTCATTTTTCTTTTCTGTCTTTCCAATTTGCTAAGTTTGCTGGAAATTTCATATAAAGACATGAACAATTCATGCATGCAGAACATATTGACTTCTGTTTTTCACTAACATTCATTGACCTTTTAGGTCAATAAATTTTGAAGTTGACTTAAGAAGTCAATAAGCCTTATTTTAATTTAGATTAAGTTTTAGTCTGATTCAGCACTCTGCTTCCCTTTTTATAAATAATTAAAAAATGCTTGTAGCAATTTATTAGTAAAATGTATGTCAACTAAGAATTGTTTCCTATAGGTCTGGGAATCCCTTGCTGGATTATAATTTTTTGCTGTAATCCCAATGCACCATTTGAAAGTGACATTCCAGCCTCCCAGTGCCTACTCTGTCCCTTTCAAGTGCTCTAATATCAATTGTAGAAAGTGATACAGATAGTTAACCAAAATTATGTGAATTTCAGGAGCAAATGTTTTCCATCACGTTGGAATTTCACCTTACATGAGCAAATTTGACTTAAATTGCATTTCTCTCTGACATTATTAATTCCATCAAGGAAGCTTTGTCTAATATTAATTACAGATTCCAATTATATTATTTCATCTTTCCTTTCCATTGGAGCTTCAATAAAAATTCATCAAGTGAAGGACATGATTATCATAATAATTTTAAAAATCCACCTAAACTCTTTTATCACAGGCACACAAAAATGTTAATAACATTGGAATCATGCATGTGGGAGTGTACTTGTCAAAAGTTTTGTGCATGATACGTCCACCAGCAAAAATGAAGGGACCGTTTCCTCTGCTGTGATTTTGGTTTACTGCCATTGATGCTTTCCTCTGATAAAGTAATTTGGCAGAAAGGTTCTTACAGAAATCCGCACAATGGTGTTCACTTAAAATTCTTGTGCTTCTTCAGTCTGTTTAGTTCTTTCAGATGACATTACTACTGATGAAAATGCACTCGGAAGTCATGTTAAGTAGCCATATTTTGACCTTATGGAATTTTGACCGTACAGTATGGCCAGCTATCACGACGTCACCTTACCTTTATTTAATGTAATTGACGAAAATAGAGGAAAAGAAAGAACAGAGCACTTATCAAACAGAATTTCAAATTTCAGCAATAAACTAATTGAGGAAGAAACATGGTTATCTGTGAGGAAAGGCATCACTCTAAAACAGCAGCTGATAGCTGGCAGATTCTAATATTAAGATTGGAGCTTCAATATCCCATAAATCCAGGTACCATCTACCACATTTGGAGTGCTAATTTGATAGTTTAGTAAAGGAAAATGCTATAAATTATGCTGAAGGCATTTTTGAGGAAAGATCTGTAGTGTATGTAGAGAAAACATTCTGCACTGATTCCAAGTGCTGATGCTTGATTTTAGCATTGGCACTCTGGATCTGGGATAAACAGGAATTAAGGCTGTAGAGACAATTCTCTTTGTCTTGAGTGAAATCCAGCGTAGGCTTGTCCTTGCATTTAACTAGTACAGCCAATTCCTGTTCATGTAAGCCTAGATACTTTCAAATCCCTAAAAAAAGGCCAGAAAAATGGTGTTGCACATGTAACAGCTTTGTAAGCATTTCCGCCTCCCCATGTTGTGATGAAACTGGAAACAACTGATATCTCCGATGTATTTGCCGAGTGTTGTTGTGGCTTAGGCCATGAAGCTGCTGTCGTGTCACTTGCCTGTTCATGGAAAGACCTACATGTAGTTTTGGAGTATATGCATCTTTGCTTTGACCTGCCCCTCCGTGGCATTGCTTTGTGTTTTATTTGTGTGATGTATTGGCACGTAGTTCTTTAGGCTGGCTTGATACTCTTTGTGTGCTATAGTTCCTTTTCACTTTTTGTTCAAAACTGCATGATAACTAGAGCTAAGAAACAATCTTCAGAGGGGATCTATGTTGTTATGAGAAACGTTACAGATTTTCTTCTGTCTTCTAGGTATTGATTTTAAAGTAAAACCAGTAACATTTAATGATACAAGAGTGAAACTTCAAATATGGTAAGTTTTAATTTATGTCACAAATGGGAACCAGCTAAATTACATTACAGCATGAAAAATCTCATCTGCTTTTAATTTCATGTCTTCCCAAAGTGCAGTTGTTCCTATTAGGTCATTTTATAATTTGAATTTGGCCTAGCTGGGTGTATTTTTTTGCAGACACTAATGTAAGTTAAAAAGAGTGTTGTTGCTAGGTTGCTTTAACAATAAAGCATACAAACAGTGCAGATCTGTGATGCATATTAAGTATATTTAATTGTATATGTTGGAAAGGGTCACTGAGGGAAATCTAGTAAGGTGAAGCTTCAGGAATCTGCGCTCTGTTATTTGGTTTTGTTCTAAAGGCTATATAGGTCTAGTGACAGTCACCTCTCCAGGCATCCAGTACTGAAGGTTATCTCTGTTTACCAGTATTTAACTTCCCAAGAAGTAACTCTGTACATGAATCATCTGACTAGTATTATATCTGCAGTTATTCCATATCAAGTTCTAATACTAAAGTCTTGGAGGCTTGTTTACAGGTTTCTTAAGGCATCGCTATGTATAGGAATCTCTGCATCCCTATATTGTATGGCTTTTCCCCTAAACGCATCATCTAAACCAGCTTACTGTCTGTGTCACAGTTTACAAAGGGCTTGTCTTAATACGAGATGTCATCTGACTCCTGCAGTGATTGTACTACACGTATTTTTTTATCACCTTAGTTGTACTGATCTTGATGATTTATGTATATAAAGAAGCAATGGTGAGCTTGAAGTTACATTCAGACTTCAACCACTGATTTAGCTTCTCTAGTAGGGCTGTATTATTTTGGATAAATTTCCAGTCTATTTCTTTCACTGCTGTATCTGGCACCCAGATTTTCTTTTACACTTACTTTTTCTCATTCCTTTCGTATTAAGGTACACCATGCAAAATTTGGGCAATACTCCTTAAAATAAAGTAATTTTTCTTAGGATTTCTGCAGTTTGATCATCGTTTGTTTGTTTGTTTATTTGTTTGTGTGATTTGTTACCATTTCTTTCAGGGATACTGCTGGCCAGGAACAATTCCATACACTTTGTACTAGCTATTTCCGTGGTGCACAAGGCTTTGTTCTTGTATATGACATCACAAATCTGGACAGTTTTCGAAGTATAGCAGGCTGGATGAAAGACATACATGAGGTAAATGTGTCTAACAGTGGCTGATTTCTTAATGAAGGTACCTAAGGAGCTACTGCAGTTAATGTTTTAAACGACTGCATCAGATTTATTCTTGTTTCTTGGCCTGTATGTTTCTAATCAGAGTTTCTTACGTTTAACTCCACAGACAGTATGATAGTAGGATTACTGTTATCTGAAACTGGAATACAGTGTAGGTGATCCAGGGTAATCCCACAAGGGTGTTTTCTGAAGTACATTTAAAACAGCTTCCAATTCAGTTTTGTTCATGTTGATTATGGTGCTGTTTTTTGTGGCTATGCACAAGCCAATCTCCATGAGCTCATTTCAGGATTTTAATTGGCTTCCATGTCAAAATTTTATATTGCAGCCAGTGATTTCCCTTGCCTGATTTCATTGCTTTAGTGTAGTTACCTCATCCCAAGGATCAAGTGAAACAAATGAAATTAAACATCCTCTTTGTCTTTGGATATTCCCTTCAAGAGGATGTTTTCAAGAGGGAGGAACTGAGGGGGAGGAAAAGGAGAACCCCTTTTTGGTGGCAGTGAGCTGTTTGGTTAGCTCAGCTGGTTGTGGTACCGCAGTCAGAAACACATGGCTCTCTGTGACACAGGAAGAGATTCTACAGCATGTGGCTGCCAGATGGGGAGCCTTCTGAGGTTTGTCCTGGCTTTCTAACGTGGTGGAAAGCTAACACAGCAAAACAGTTGGATGGTTTTCTGCTCCATCGGTGAGTTTAAGAGGTTCATAAAAAGGTCTGACAGTTAACTGGAGTTGGTGCAATGTAAACAGGCAGGAGTAGTGAAACCAAAAGAACGTATGGGAACAATGTGAGGAGGGAGCAAGCAAGCCCTTAGACATCAAATGGTTCAGCTGCATGTAACCCTGTACCCTGAGTCTTGATTGCTGGGTCTCTCTTGATGTATTCTCTGTTAGGTAGAGACAGGTCAGTTTTAGAGTAGGAAAAGCTAGAAAGGACCTACAGTGATCTAGTCCAGCTGCCTGACCATATCAGGGCTGACCAAAAGTTAAAGTATATTATTAAAGGCGTTGTCCGAATGCCTCTTAAACACTGACAGGCTTGGGGCATTGACAGCCTCTCTAGGAAGCCTGTTCCAGTGCTTGACCACCGTCTTTGTAAAGAAATATTGCCTAATTTCCAGTTTGAACCTCCCCTGGTCCAACTTTGAACCATTCCCACATGTTCTAACACTGAAGGCCAGTGAGGAGAGATCAGCAGCTCCCTCTCCATATCTCCTGCTCGAGAAGCTGCAGAGAGCAATGAGATCACCCTAAGCAGTACCATGAAAGTTTGTAGTTGGCATGCTTGTGCAAGTTAGTATGTTTGTGTAAGAATCCAAGCAAGGTAATGCTCTTTGTTGATTAAAATCAAGTAAACATTCAGGCAGTTTTTGTAATACTCTGTGAATTGGTAGGAGTATGATATGATGGATGCAAGAGTTCACCTTGGGAAAGCAGGCTCAAAATAAAACCATCGAAAGTGTCCTTTTCTCTCTTCACAGCTTCAGTATACGGACAAATTAATATCCGATAATATATACATAAGATACCTTATGCTCTTGGCAAAACATTACATTACCTCGGTGTTAAGAACATGTTATGGAGACCTAGTATGTAATTATGCTTGACCTTAGAGCCATCTTAAAAGTCTTAGTAGCAACAGAGTCTAATTTCAGTAATGTGTTACAAAGGAGATTTGATGTTATAATATTCTTACTGGCTTGTCTGCACATACTTCAGACTAACACATGTGCTTTATTACTTTGCTAAGAAAAGTGTATGCCCTTCTCATGTTGGGCAAACCAACAAAAGAACAGAAATCACAGCTAGATACACCACTGGTTGTACAGTTTTATAACTAGGTTTTATTATTTATTTATTTATTATTTATTTATTATTTATGACTGGGTTTTAACTCATCACACAGTATGATAGTAGGTTTATTGTTAGCTGAAAATGTAGATTATCCATATATATCCATTTACATTTATATGCCTGTGTGTGTATTTATCTATCTGGGCATATAAATTTATATATAAAATACTGATCTGTCTTCATGCTGCCTCCAAAGGGGTTATTTTATCCTGTCATCTTTAATTAGATCAACAGGGTGATTGATTCAGTGGGCTACAATGCAGCACCATAAACACAAAGAAATGTTAGGACAGTATGGCTGGGGGGGGGGGGAGGGGGAGACTAGCTCCTTTTGCCCCACGCAGGATGAGACTAGCTCTTGTAGCCACAGGCAGGCTTAGATCCACTTAAGTCAGTGAGGAGATCACACCTGCACAAGCCTGCTTTCTAGTCCTGAAACTTAAAAGCTTTCATGTAAACGTATTCAGGCTACTAATATTTAGGTTGTTTAATCTTAACCCCTGAGGGTACTTTGTTAGTTTAAAACGTTAAGAACAGAAAAATACTCAATTTAAAATAATTTCTGGGAATGTAAATTGCATGATTGATTGTACCAGTCTCAAAACTAGCAATTAGCGAGTCTTGTAATAGAGCTAGATAATAGTAAAAAATTTAATTTAGTCCTAGTGGGATATCAATTTCTGAAATGTCTTGGTGAAAATATATGGGGCCATTCATTTCACAAGAAGTTTTTTTAAAGCAATAACTGTTAAAACACAGGGCATTTCATGAAAATTAATTACTTACTGGAGGTTGGTGACATTCCCTGTGTTTGCTTTGGTCTATGAATGCAAACCAGTATTTAATTCTCCACAAATTCCCAGTATCAAAGGCTGTAGCTACAGTGCCCTTTAAAATATGCAAGCGTGGAATAATTAAGTAAAATTTAAGAAGGGAAGCAGATACAGGTTTCATTAAACACCAGTCTAATAGGTATGTAAAGCTTGCAAGTGAGCTAATCAGACAGGATTTTTGGAGACAATTAGTTATCACATTACACTCTCATTTTTAATTCTTTGCACACAGAGATTTTAAACAAAGTTTTTAAAAAATCCGTTCACTGTGTCAAGCTATTTTTACAACAGCTGAAAATAACAATCTAAGCAATTTAACATTTGTAAAAACTCCATTTATTTTGTAAAAGCTGGCCAATCAGTGCTATTACAGTTTTCATGGTGCTTCAATTATTTTAAGTGTAGAATATAGCAATTTTCCTATTAAAGGAAGTTCAAGACACAAATATGCTGCCATATCTGTGTTGTGCAAAATTTGTATTTAGAGGAAACTAAGTAACAAGACTGTACTTAAAGGACTTAGTAGAAAAACATACTCACAGATTAATATCTTATAACATTATTGGCAAATCCAGTACAGGTATATTGGATTTGTAATGCACTCATTAGGTGTATGATAGCTGCAGGAAAATTACTTTAGAATCTGAAACCATTCTTTATTCGTAGGGTTGTGGGCAGTGTCCAGTTTTTTAAATGTTCCTCTTGTCTGCTGACATGGCTTTTAGCTGTTGTATGCAAATGTTTTAAACAGCTGATTCTATTTGGCCTTTAAAAATTAAGTACAAGTAACCATGCACCAAATCCACTTGCAGAAAACTGCTTTCCAGGATGTTTTGAACAGGATTCCAACCAACATATGGACAAAAAGTTCCTCAAAATAGATCAAATGCTCAAGCAGGTGCCCAGAATGGATCTGGAGATACTTTAAACTCGATACAAGAGGGTCTTGAGCGACCTGACTGAAGTTGGCCCTTCTTTGAACGGGGGTTAGACCAGATGACTTCCAGAAGTCCTTGCTGGCCTAAATCACGCTGTGATTCACACACGACACCTGAATTGCCAAAAACTTCTGACATCGATTATAGGCCCTAGTTTTCTTATAGACGTATTGGACTGGTTTTCCTTGTGCTAGTCTCCTGATGTGGCATTACCAGTTCCTAATGATTATCTCCTGGGAATTTTCTGCTAGAATTTTCTGCATGGGGAAGATTGATTAGTTTTGTCATGTGGTAGCAAGTCTTGGTGACATAATGTAGTGTTCTTGGAACGTATTAGCTTTCTGTTTGTGCTGTCTGAAATAAGTGGATCCTCAGCCAGGATATGAATGTGCAGATGTGTTTGGTTACTGCCATTTTTCTGTGGTGCCCTCTCCTGGTACTGGGCGTTAGATGCATCTGACAGTTGAGAACCCAGACTGCAGTTCAGCTTCTTCATCATACCTAAAGTACGACAGCAATCTGCTTTACAAATGTAGATTAGTTTTACTTCTGAATTGTTCCAGTTCATAGATGGGTTTGTTGTTATGACAGATTAGAACTGGAAATTCTTATTCTTGTCACTCTGCTAAATTGGTTTATCTCTCAGTTTGCTAATAGACAAATTGTGCCAATTGCACAGTTCCACTGAAGTCCTGGAAACTAGGTATTTGTAACCAAGTTCATCATGTGGCACTTAGAGAAATACAGAAAGATGAACAGGTATAGAAATAATAATGTGACACTGAGGACACTGGAGACAGTGTATACCTAACAAATTATTCTTCCTTAGTACAAGAGATTATTATTCTTCCTTAGTACAAGAGATTGGATTCTAGTGTCATTGCCTGGCAAGCAGGAGGAAAAAAGTCCCAGCTTTACAGCCTTCTCCAGCTCTGTCTTCATCTTGCTGGGTGACCATTTCTGTCTCCCCTTCAAATCTGAAAAATTGTATTAATGCTACATTTGTTCCTCAAGTACAAACTAATTAAGCATTGCCACGGTGTATTTATCAGGTTCGGTTTCTTGATTACACTGTTTTGGCCTGCGAACAAACTTCTATTCCCTTTTCCAGCTGTAATCAATGAGTATCAAAGTCACGCAGCCCTGCACAACTGTGCTCTGGGAATGTGGTGGAGAGACAAGGTGGTGATTCTGGATAGACAGCTTTTATAAAACAAGGAGTGTGGATGAGCTTTGGTAATCTCACAATTTGCCGCAGGGGAGGTTGAGGCCAGCCATTTGCGGCAGGATCTGTGCGCAACATTTCAAAAGTGAAGGGGTAGTTTCTTCCAATAACCTGTTAAGTACAAATGTGATTTAATTCTCTTTTGATTATAGAATGATTTGGGTTGGAAGGGACCTCAAAGATCATCTAGTTCCAACCCCCCTGCCATAGCAGGGACATCTCCCACTAGATCAGGTTGCTCAAGGCTCCATCCAGCCTGGTCTTTAACACTTCCAGGGATGGAGCATCTGCAGCCTCCCTGGGCAGCCTGTTCCAGTGCCTCCCCACCCTCAGGGTAAAGAGCTTCTTCCTTATATCTAGTCTAAATCTACACTCATCCAGCTTCCACCCATTACCCCTTGTCCTATCACTACAGGCCTTTGTAGAAAGTCCTTTCCCAGCCTTCTTGTAGGCCCCCTTGATAAAGGTGTTTGTGCTACTGTTGACACGTAAATTCACAGCACTTCTGCAAAGTAGCTTTCCCTGAAAAATGGGAACAAGTGCAGAAAAAAAAAGAATTACATACAAAAGGGATACACAGGATATTTTCCCTTCTGCATTCTCAATTTCTATTAATAGCCCCACAGTCAAGGAGTTGGATGTTTACCTGGCTGGCTGCACAGGCTGGGTGAAAGTTGAGCCGTGCTGTAATTAGTTCAGGGTGTGGATGGATGGCTTCTATCACAGCGGGCCTCCAAGGTGCACTGTGGTATCTCAGCATGCGAGTCCAGTCCCTGGCAGCACTTGAGGCTCTGGTTCTGCTCCCTCCTGCCACCAGTGATCCCGGCAGCCTGGCTTCTGCCTCCACTCTGGTGGGAGAAAAGCCTTTTGCCAAAACCTGATGACTCCACACTCTTCCAAAAAAAACCCACCAAAACCAACAAACTTGGGTCAGTCTTGACTTCCAATTTTTAGAGAGTAATGTAGTGCTGATACTTCCTTTTTGGACATTTAAAACAAAAAATAGGCTAGGTTTTTTTTCCAAGTTCAGAGTGGTTTTAAATTTCAGTAAAAGGGAACTTTGAAATGTTAAAACCAGAAGAAAAGCTGAAGAGAGAGAACCAAAAATCTGGATGTATTTTTGAGAAATCAAAATGAAGCACTTCTTTTATTTTTTTTTCTACTTCTCAGAATTTTTTTTTGCCTTGATGAAATTGATTGAATTTTTAATAGTATTTTTCCATCATGTGGGGAAAAAACATGTTTCCGGACTCTATTAGCTTAGTCAGTGCTGACTTGCATAATAGCATCTTAACAACTGTAAAATAACTATCCTCTTTTTAGCTATAGATTTTGCATTTGGAAAGCTTATTCCTGAGCTATAAATAAAAGACGATGAAAATACACAGTGAGCTTTTGGAAGCACTGAAGAGCCATATTTTTGTCCAATTCAAATCAGTGTACCTCGGCAGTTTTTATGCCAACTGAGCACATGGTCAAGCTTCTGCCTAGTCATATTGACTTAATTTTTTTTCAAGATTTCCTCTCTATAATCAGGCTTCAAAATTTGAAATGGACAACATTTGGTATATATTCTTTAGTTTTCTAAAAGAAAAAAAACCTGCAAGATACTATCTTTTTAAAAAGTACTTGCAGTGTTTTGGTGGAGGACCTAGTCAAAGTGAAAATATGTTATTACATTATATTGATGTAGAAATAATAGTTATTTGCCGAAATAAATGCTTAGTGGCCTTGTATCTCTGACCTCCTTTAAATTTTGTAACTGTTTGAAGCTGTTTAGAAAGAACACTCCTACTGTAAAAATTGTGCTGTTTGTACAGAAATGCATTCACAGGATGGATTTGATGGTGTTGTACAGAAAATGTGCTAGTATTTCCCTTTGACCTTTTACTTCAGAGTGGAATGTCAGTTGTAAAACCCTCACCTACATACAGTCTTTACAAGTTGGTTATGTGATGAGATTAAATTGTCTGTTTACCCTATTTTAGGGACTGATGTATGCAATTTTATGTAGGAGAACCATTGACCTTAATGAGTAAAGCTTCAGTGCATTCTGAAACAGCCAGCATTTTGGTCTATTAATCCAGGTTAGATTGATTCATTATTTTAGGCCTGTACTTTGTACTCTTATGATGAGCTTACTTCATTTTAATACTACATTATCTCGAACATCAGCTGTGGGTATAAAATGAGATTAGCTGACTCTAAAATGAGAGTGGATTTAAAAAAAAAAATGAAATAGTGTTCCTTAGTAATAATTTGTGCCTACTGCTGAACTCTTCAAATAAGGCAACTTAGTTGTAGAAGTGCAAATAGACTAAAAATAATGGTTCTCTCATCCTTTAATGAAAATAGTTTTTTCTTTGCATTTCTCTGTACGGAGGGATATGTGTCTGTGTGTGTGTGCGTGAGCTCTGGGGAAGACGACTGTGCCTAGTTTTGTCTTATGGCAAAGTTATAAAGATTAAGACTTTGACAGACATCAGATATTTCATCAACGTCCTTGTAGAGAGAACTGCAGCCTGAGACCAGGCTTTCTGAGTCATCAGAGAAGCTGCGTGAGTGTGTACTTTCAGAATATAAGCCACGGGGTAAGACCACGTTAGCTTTAATTGTCTGTAGATTAAGGCCCTGGGTTCCTCCACTGAAGCATCAAAATTGGTTTTAAATACTATGATTTCCACAATGAATGTCAGTTTTCAAATTCCACATTCTGTTGCAGAGCCTTCTTCCTCTTTCCTTGTCATTATTCCAGTCATTTATCGTTACCATGGCTTACCTTAAAATAACACTGATTTAAAGCACCCAGTGCGTTTCACAGTCATGATGTACGTAACTGGATTAGTGGAACGAAGGATGGAGACAAGGTCAAAAAGCTAGGTCTTTCTTTTGAAATCAATGAGGTTTTAAAGTTTTACTTCATTAAAAATCTATTGCCTTCTTCCAAGCGTCTTGGAATAATCAAACTTTTATGTTGAGTTGGAACACTTCGATAGTAATTTTACTGCCTGTGTGTAAAAGTGAAGCACAGACAGGTGCTCTTTCAGGTGCAGCAAATTCCTTCCTTTTTACTTGTGAGTGCTGGGTGTAGACCAGACTAATGTGCTAATCCATGAGCCTGTTACTTTAGGGAGGGCAGCGTCTGTGAATTTGGGGCATTTCCAGTCACTTTAAAGCCTCGAGATGGAGCACTCATCAGAAGATGGTGCCCATGCACCATATACTTTATATCTCACGAATGGGGTTGCAAATTGCACCCTGCACTTCTCAGCTCTTTGCAATCTTGCTGCTCTCCTCTGAGTCCCAGTAACTGATGGAAAATATTTACACGGATGAAAAGATCAGGACAGAATTTAGCCTTTATTTTCAAGGAAATAAAGTGTTGAAGGCTAGTGTGACCTGACGGTGAAGGGCTTTTGTTGTTTGCTTTTTTCTTACTTGACACTTATTAATGCTGCTTCTCTTTTAGAAAGCGGGTGATGAAGTGGACATAATACTGTTGGGCAACAAGTGTGATAAGGAGTCAGAACGTGTAGTTCCAAAACAGAAAGGAGAAAAGGTATCATTGGTACTTTCTTTGGCTTCTCCTCAGTATCTTAGTATGTGACTGTGAGCTGTTAGAATGAAAATGATAAAAAGATTGTGAATTCCAGAAATTCTGCTAGGAATTACTCTAGAAGAACAGTGATGGACTTTTGGAATGTTACGGGGTTTTTTAACATGTGAGCAGAAATACATAAAGTAACCCCTAGCTAATCTCTTTAGAACACAGATTTTTATTTTTAAGGTTAAAATGTACTTTAAAAGTTTTAGATGTTAAAATAGAAATCTTATATTTTTGAATAAAAACTAAAAATATTTTAGAGTCTGCATTTTCAGAGTGCTCTTCTAATGTATAATACTAAAATGTCATGCATAATACATTCTGCATAGTTTTTCTCTTACCACCCATCAGTGGGTTTTTTTGCTGCAGCCTGACCATAAAGAACTATTCTGGCAGCCTGTGCACTGTGATCTGCATTGTCTATGAATGACCCTAAATAATACTGGACATACACATTTAGGGAACATCCAGCTCCCCTACTTCTAACCGTGTATGTGCTTTTCAAATGGGACTGCAGGGTAGTTTATAGCTGCTGACCATGTGTAGGGGAGGAACTGATGTCGGGTGGGGACTGCTGTCCTAAAAGCAATGGCAGATTACGCTACCTGAGAACCAGTGAGGACATCCAAGGAGCCGTGCTATGGCAGAAGAAATTGTGGTAGTGACTAAATGTCACAAGAGAGTGTGTCCTTTATACCAGTAAATTTTGCAACTCCAAACTGCATGCATCTGTTTTCTGGGACTTGGAATGAGCCCTTCTGTTCTGCTTTCAGGCATAGTGAGTCAGGCAGGATGTCGTGCTTAAAGAAAAGATCGCTGATAATTTCTTGCCAATTATATAATCCCAGATTAGAGAATTTTTAAAAATAGCATCACCTTTTCAACAGCCTTACGAATAAAAACTTCTGGAAGGTCATTGTTCTTATGTGAGACACTTCCAATGTTAATGTACTATACCTGAGTACAAGGAATAAGACTTGCTGAAAAATACACATGCACTCCAAGAGTGCAGTCAGAAATCTGAGGAGTCACTGGATGCATGTGCACAAGAGGGCAGTAGTAGGGTTTTGCATATAGCATTAACTGTGACATTTTCTGACTTCTGTGTACTTAACTATGCAATCAAAATTCCTTTTAATGAAAGATTCCTTTCAGAAATGAATGATTACTTCTTCACCAGTTAGTCAGCTTTCTAGATTTCTCCTGTGTTTTGAGGCAAGGCAACTCTTCAGTTATACTACTACTGATTTACAGACACTAAAGAATCTGAATAAACCAACTGGAGAAAGATCCCATTAGCAGAGAAAGAGCTAATAATTGTCCTCTCAATCCAAAGAAGAAAATAACCTTATTAAGAGAGGAAAATAATAATGTATTATTTTATAATATATTATTTTATAATAATCAATATTATAGTTCAGAATAATTCATGCTTACATATTTCCCTGTGAGTATGAGCACTTTATAGACTAACTTAATGCTGAGAAATTATTTTTGTTTGTTTTCTTCTGTAATTATATAGTGTGGGTCACTCAGAAATATTTAATTTTAGCAATATGAAGTATTTTCTTCTATTAATAGCTTTTTATTAATTTTGGGAAAAGCTTGAACTCAAGTTTCTTGAGCTCCTCCATTCCTCCTGCCCTCCAATAACATTTTCTTTTTCTCTGAAAAATAAATAAACATGGTGGAGTTCGTATACCTTGAAAGAATGTGGCTGGGTTTCTGCTATCAATTTTCTAACAGAAAGAGCTAAGTAAAATATTCTTCCTTTTTTGCTTTTGCTGTCTTCACGTGCCTGACTTCAAAGCTGATTTAACAGGTACAATACAAATGAAGAGGGTCCAGCAGACGGCTCTAAAGGTGATTGGGGTCTAGTACCAGTAATCCGTGAGGAGAACTGAGGGAGATGCATAAAGAGGAGGCAAAGGAGCAGTCATTGGTCTACAGCAATTGAAGCGTAGTTAGAGCAGTGACAGAAATAGACTCTTCTCAGTAGAGACTGACAATAAAGCAAGGGGCAGCAGAAGCAAGTCCTGGCTTGGGAGGTTCAGGCTGGTTGGTGATAAGGAGAACCAGTTGCACAAGGAAGGTGATAGAGCCATGGAAGAGGGTCCCATAAAGATTCTATAATCTTCATTGTTGGTGGATTTTAACACTCAGGTAGGCAAAGTAATGGCTGACCCCATACGGAGGGGCTGTAGTCCCTGAGTGGGCTGATCTTTCCAGATGATTTCTGTGATTCCATGATTAAAATGGTGTGTGTCCATAGGTAGCCTCTAGGAAACACACATGGCACAAGAAAGAGAAAAGTAATATTTAATAGTAGATTCTGTGTGCTTTATAAACTGCAAACCAGTGTTCTCCACTTTATTAGCCCAGTATTTTTATTGCCTGTGGTTTTCTTTACAAACCATTACATATCGCTGTTTGGCACAACATTTGCCACTAGTCAGATGATCTTAGCTTTACGTAACAAGTTGCAGCAGTACCGAGAATGCTTCATAGCAGTCAGGTGGAGTTTCAGAATCCCTTATAAAGCAGTCTGTCTTAAGAAACAGTCCAGATCTCGTTTTTATTTTCAAAATCACGTTTTCATTTTCAAAATCACGTTTTCGTACAGTATTTTGGAAAAGAAACCATTTTTTTCACTTTTTATTCTACCTTTATTAGAGTCTTTATTATATTTTGACCAAAACTTTTAAGTTCAATTTTTGTACCTTCATGCCTGATTCTGGAATATTTATAAAGCATTGATCTGTTACTTCTAGGACCACTGAAAGTTAACGTAACTGCCAACACTAGGCTTTTTATCCTAATGGAGAGTGTTCTAAGTAAATCATTAAGTGGTCAGTAATTATAGGATTTTCTGTACAATATAAGCAGTAGGCCATTTTCTTTGCCTAGGATCGTCTTCTCCAGATGTGTACTGAGAAGAGATCCACTGCAAAGGGAATAAACAGATTCTCCCAATATGTTTCTCTGGCAGATACTTGGCCCTCTCCCTTGGGAGGCAACGAAGCAACTGTTTTTCTCAATGTATTTAACTGTATAAATTAGAAAAAGTTCAGGACCTTAAAAAGCTATGCATTTTGTTGTGTTTTGTTTTATTTTTTCCCTTGTGCCAGCATGTCTCTAAGCTATTTGTAAGAGAAGTACCCTGGAAAGGATAAATCATAAGTAAATTAAATTAAATAAAATAGACAAATGCGAAGTGTATGCTGCTTTGTTCTTCCAAGTATTTGATCTCTTCTGTTACCATAATATATTTTCACATACGTACCTCTTTGCCTGCCTTGACAGTTTTAAGGCTCAGCTTGACAGGGTGCTGAGCCATCTCATTTAAACTGTATTTCTTTTACCTTAAAGGGTTGGACTAGATAATCTTTGAGGTCTCTTCTAACCTGGTATTGTATGATTGTGTTATTGCTGTGCTTCTCTCTAGTAAAAAGAAGTGTCTTTTTTTTATATTTCATCACGCCTCTTTTTCTACAGTTTTTGAAATCTCTACTTTTCTGCAGGCACTTTGTTAGTTTCCTCTAAATATCTGCCTAGGAAACAGTTGTTTTCCAAATAAATCAAAACATTTAGAACAGACCTACTAGAATTTATTCTTCTTATTTACAAATAAAGATAAGTTAGAAGAGCTGCTTTGAAAATGCACAAATTTAAAAAGAAATGTTTTTAAAAGTTACCTGAAATTATAAATTAAGGATTAATATGTAGTCCTTTACTAAGCTGACATTTACTTAATTTGTGCTTATGTAGCATGTTAGAAGCTGTCAGAGCACATCTATATCTCTTGCTATTAGTATTAGGAAGTGATTATTTTCCTAAAGACTGTTTATCCCATTGCCTGCATTTGTTTTTCAGCTTGCTTGGGAACATGGAGTACCCTTTTATGAAACCAGTGCTAAAGACAATGTGAACATTGAGGATGCATTCTCAGTTTTGACTCAGGAGATACTGGAAAAGGTAGGCTCCTTGTCTGAGTAGAAAGAAAATGGGAAACTTTTCTTGACAGATTGGGTAAACAACGTTGTAAATGCAGAAGATGTTTAGCAAAGCACAGGCAGTGCTAGTTTTGCATTATGGAGTTAGTATTTTGGAGGGATTCGGTAGCTGTCGGCATGCAGAGGAGGAACATGGGGTAGAAGAATTGTGGGAAAAGGGAACAACAGAAGAGAGAAGCAGGTAAAATACAGTTCAGAGTGGAGGTGAAAATTCAGGAAAACTGCACTTGTGGCTTTACTTGCAGTGCTTTTCTTCAAAAGAGAGCTTAACAGCTTGAGAGTATTTCCACTTCTGTGCCAGGAAGTTTCCTTTTTCCTGTAGGTTTCTGCAGAATGCGCACGCTCTGAAGATGCTGCATGCCGATAGAGTGAGTGGACTATTTATGTTCAGCAATCAAATGTTTTATCCAAAGTTCACGGCTGTTTGTTTGGATGATTTACATTAGTGCTTTTGAAGTTATTAGGACCCAAAGATTTGAGTTAATTAGTGGCAGAATCAATATCGTAGCTGCCAGAGTCAGCATCTCTAACTACCTTGAATGTGCTGGCTTAAAGGTCCTAACTCCTCAGAGATGCAATACTTTTGTAAAACTGAATTACTGTTAATTAGCTCTGAAAATGTTTTGCATTGCAATTTATTTTTAGACAGTAGAATATTATTTTAGACATTAATGGATGTTCTTCATGCAATGCATTATCATTGCCATTCATCACCAATATTAGTTATACAAAACTAACCTTCCATTCTGAATACTTTTGAAGTCATAATAAAGATAAATGAGCAAAATTACTGACAAAGTCACAAGTTGCAGTGTTTTGATTAAGTAGCCATAGGGGACAGTCAGAATAATGGCTCAGGGTTGGACTGTTCCTAAATCGAGGTCCTGTTTTATTATACAATAACACAAGCTGTAGTTGGTTATTTTGAGGGAGGAAAAAAAGCACTTTCGATTCCTTTAGCATGAAAATGAAGCTCAGCAACTCAACAGTCAGAACAGGATAGTGGCAGATCCTTGAATAGAATCATAGAATCATAGAATCATAGAATCATAGAATCATAGAATCATAGAATGGCCTAGGCTGGAAGGGACCTTAGAGATCATTTAATCCAGTCTCCCTGTCGCCAGGGACGCCACCTCTCGACTAGATCAGGCAATACATGGGGACCGAACAGGAATCGAACCCGCGACCTATGCGTTGTTAGCGCCACACTCAACTGTCTCAAATAAGATAACTCTGATTTTCTTGTAAATGAAGAAGACGTTGTCTATTGTAAATAGACAATATATTTACTAGAATGAAGCGTGAAAGCTGCAAAACAATAGCTATGATCATAACTGCTGCAAAGATAAATATGTGTGAGGCGAGCATTTCTGCGCAGTGTGATGGGGCAAGATCTGAGAAGACTCTGCAGCGTGCAGAAAGGATGTTTGGCTATTTCTCACATTAAGATTGCCTACACTTATTAAAGTGGAACTTTAGTATTCCTACTTCATGAAAATTCATGGGTTTTGCAGTGTGGACACACAAACAAATTCAGACCATGTTGAAAATGTTACACCGTTGCCTGGCTTTAATTAGAACTGCCTGAGAATACAGTTGTGGACTCTGCATGCATGCACATGTGTTTGGAAAATAGATCCACGGGAATTTGTTGCGTTTGTCTATAGCAACATTTCAGCTTATCTAGAAGTGCTTTCAATCCCTGATGGGGCATCACGTACCATGACTTCGGTGTAAAATTTGCCATTTTTAGTGAAGTGCATTTGTTGATTTAAATAAGGACTCTACTAGCCCACTTGTTTTTGCCACTGGCCTGATAAGAAAGAGTTCAGTCAAAAAAAAAATATAAATCTACCATACAGTTTCATCATGGTTTTCAGGTTCAACAAAATAATTTGCTTGTTCACAAAACTGTGAAATCTGAACATAGTACTTGAATTTTAACTTCCTCTAACTGATGAAATTTTGGAGAAGGGAAAACATGGTAGGAAGTGTGACTAGTAGCTGTGAAAAATGACATGATAGATGCTAGTCTGAGATGACTTCAGTCATACATCCATTCTGTTGTGGTAAAATATGTACTTGCTGATTGTAAAAAGGAGATACGGCTTGGCACAGTGTTTTGGCCAAAGACACCTATGTCTGAGGCAGCCGGGTATCGGGCCTCCCTTACTTCTGCAGTGGGACCCCCTGCCCCAGACTGATGAGCTGCTGCAGTGGAAGCGTGTCATTACTGTACCAGTCCCACAGAGGAAACTCATTTTAAGGAACTCCCTAGAAAAATCTATTATGGCCATGCTGTTGGAAAGTGTGTGGAGGTCATTCAGAAGCAAGATAGGTAGGCAGGCTGTAAACCATTTTCAGATGCATTGCAGTAGGCTGTATTAATCTGAGGAAAATGAGGATTTTTTTATATGTACTCTTGTTCACCATCTACTATGGGCATTTCTTTATTAACTAAATCTACAGAAAACACGCTCATAGATGAGGAAAATCAGTGTCTGGAGTTATAGACCTCATACAGAAGTAAAGAGTTTCTTGATTCTCTTGCAGTTTAGAGCAAGTTGTGGTTCAGTGGAGGACTGAGAGAAAAAATAAAATAAAGCAAGTTTGTATTGCTGTTATTTTGTGCTGCTTTTTCCTAGCTCTCCTTTTGTGCTTTTATTTGTACTGGGCTTAAGGGAGAGAGAAGACTTTTGTATCCCAGCAATTCAGATAACTAAAGCACTGCTTGACCTTTTGGATATTTATCATCTCAGCCATTCTATGCTGGCTCTCAGTACTGCAGCTCTAAATTACATGGGTATCCTCATTAAAACAATCAGGTATTATCTGACAGCCTACATTGGTAACAGCAAAGGAATCATGCTATGTTTTTGAGAACTCAGGATTTTCAACCAGTCGGGTATTAGTAACTGATTTGATTGTTTTGAAGAGGGTGCAGTGGAAATGAAAGTCAACGACACATCGGATTCCAGAGGTTTGCTTAGACACGCTGACAAATAACAACAGTATTTTATTTATTCACAATTCTTATGAGTCTCAGATATGCCTGAACCTGTTCATTAATACATGGCAGCTGTTCCTTAACAATGCTTTTGGTTACCAGTGAGCTATTTGTACTTGTGAGTCAGTCCTCAAAACCCAACCAAAACCAAAAGATACCACCCAGAACACAGTTTGTATTTGCATTTTGATGTTGTTTGATTTCATGGCTGACAAGCAGTACTTTTCTCAACTAGCTTTTTTAAAGACTACTACAAGCCTTTGTATTTCTGTCTTTGTGGGTGTGGTGGTTGGTATTTTTCTGAACTAGGAGCAAAAGGAGAGAAACTATCAAGAAAAACAAAAAACCCCAGTTTTTGCTGTTTTCCGAATACTATTATAAAACTAACCAAAACTTACACTCTGCCTACCTCCCAAGAGTGACTGACTACTAAGATTTTCTTAATATAATATTAAATAAACATATATCTGCTGAGCAGACAACAGTTAAAATCCATTTAAGAACTTTCCCTGTGCTTTCGAGAGTAACATTTAATATTTAGCAGCTGGATGTTGTTTGAGAGGAATGTTCAGAAGTAGCAGGCCTCAGTTCTGTCCTTCCTTGATATCTTTACCTTCCTCTTCTATGGCAACAAGATTTTTGAGTTGACACTGTGTGGCCCATTCCTTTGCTCCTAAAACACCTTTGAAACTTGCTAGCTCATCTTAAACAAATTTGACAGGTCAAACTAAAAGAAAATGAAATTTCCAAGGAGTTCCTTGAAGATGAAGTGCTGGGTAGAGGAGAGGCAGAGTATTTGCAGAAGGAAAGTCTCCAGCATTAGTGAATGCAGTATTAGACAAAGATGACTAAACTGAGAGACAGAAAAATGTTTCAGCCAGCCACTCCAGCTGGAGCTTGCATTACAGAAATCAAATTGAATTCACTGCAAGGCCCAAATCCATAAGAAATAGGATTTCATTATTTCCAAGGTTCATGGGATTGTTAGATTTTCCAAAAGATCCTTGTGTCTCCAGCAGTGCACATTCAGTATTTCTTTATTATCCCCAGTCATGCATGGAGCCCCAGGCTTTATTTGCCCTTTATTTATCTTGTACTGACCGCAGAATATTAGTTTCTTCATGAGGTTTTTTCATAACGCTCGTAGTGCTGTATTTGAGATCTATTTTAGATTTTTATCTTCATAAACTTCTTAGTAATGTTACATAGTATAATCAGTGTTGCACACATGGGAACCAAGCTACAGGAATTAAAGCAAAGAGTACCAACTCACTTAGTGCTAGTGTAACTATGTAGGGCATAATTTTACTACATTATAAAAAATAAAAAAGTCTTTTATGGACATTGAATGAGCTAGATAGTCTTCTGGCAATGGTAGCATATAATTAGGTCATGTAAATCAAAACTTAATCATAATATTTGAGTACAGGGCGTGCAACTTTATCCAGCTAAAATTTCCACAACTAGTCTCGTGTGGTTGTCTGGAATCATCTCTATTCAATTTAAAGAGATACATCTTTTTAGGATAAAATTGTGTTCTGGAGTTGCCTTTCTCTCTCCATTTATTATAGAAGACTCCATATATCAGCCTTTATGGTTTCATGTGATTAAAGTTAAATAAATTAAACTCCAGGAGGCCAAAGGAATGTTACATACTTGACTTACTTCTGGCATTTGCTGCTTCTGCAAGATCTTAACTTTGAAGCCTGATTGCTCTCTTAAATAGGGGGTTTGAGGTGGAAATATATTAATCCTTAAATAGATGATCTGTAGGGTTGAGAACATTCGAGCAACACTGCAGCTGTCTTCTTAAGTTTGGGAAATAATAATTGCAGTATGACATTGTAACCATATCCGTGGTATTAACAGAAGAGGGAGATAGAGACCCACACTTTACCAGTGGGTTTTAGACATTGTGGAACAGTAGGATATGAGAGCAAGGACTTCATTTC